TCCTCTTCCTGCTCCCTCCTACTGCTCTCTCATCATCCTCATCCTCCTTCTCCTTTTCTTAGTTTCCTCTTTTTTGTCCTCCTCTTCTTCTTCTTCTTCCTCCTCCTCTACCTCGTCTTCCTCCTCCTCCTTGTCCTCCTCCCGTCTTTTCCTTTGCTCTTGGCTTCTGGTTTCTCCTCCCCCACCTCGTCCTCCTCCTCCTTTTCCTCCTCCTCCTCATCCTCTCGGTCCCCCTCCCCTTCCTCCTCCTTTTTTCTCGCCTCCTCACCTCCTCCTCCTCCTCCTCCTCCTCCTCATCCTCATCCTCAGCCTCCTCCTCATCCTCATCCTCATCCTCATCCACCTCCCCTTCTGTGATGTCGGCTGGGAGATCCTGCCCGCGGGTGGCCGAATCGTACACAGAGGGCGGCGAGTTGGCTGTGCCAACACTGATCGAATGCCGGCATGCACCGGCGCAAAACAGCAGTTCACCGTTCCGAGCCTCCGTCCTAGTTCCAGGGTCTCTTGGAGAGCCGGGCAGGGGCCTGCCAGACAGCTGAGGACCAGGAGACGGAACAAGCCTGCACTCTGGGAGGCCTGCGCAGATTTCTTCGTGCGGTTGGCGCTGGCCACCCCCTGGTCTGGCGCCTCCAGCGCCGCCCCCTCGGCGCGCGCTCCGCGCGCCAGGAGAGGGGGGTCCCACGCCGACCCGAGAAGTCCACGCGGCCCTCCGAAAGGTGGTATTCATACAGTCTTGTGTTTCAGAGGAAGATGTACCCATGCAACTACCCTTCCTCCTTGGTTTTCCCCTTTTTGGGCCTCCTGGGAGGCCCTCGTCGCCACCGTTGGATTCGCCTCGAGATTCTGGTCAGAACGCACCCCTGGAGAGGTCCGGGGAGTAGCGGTATCGCTACCTTCTGGTTTCCCCAATGATCGAGGCCAGCAACAACATACACGGCCGGGAACAAGTTACACCAGAATCCACAAGACGATTATTTGAATGATTTGCCAACGAAAACGCCGACAGGAGGATCATCAAGTGAGATTCGCCTTCAATGTTGGCAGAGCGCGCAGGAGTGTACCAAGGGCAGGTGATCGACATGTTTTCTGTTGGCCTGCGCGCAACATTGAGAGGCGGATGCCACTTCATGCCTGGGTGTTGTTCCCACGTGGTTCTTCGGCGGGCCGCAGGCATTGGTGATCTTAAGTCAAGTCTTACGAGCTGTACCCTAAAGGAGACGCCTGCCGTGCACCGCGCAGTGAGCCGTTCATGGTGTTTCGTATAATTGATCGGCGGATGGCACTTAATGCGACGGGCCCCGACCACAGTGTTCCAACAGCGCTTCCGCTTCCATCCACGTTCCATTTTTTGTGATCAACTTTTCTCACGGGGCTGTATGTACAGTGCGCGGTCAGCCTCCGCTGTCCTGCGCATGAACGCGGCCACTCCCGCCCGCGGGATTGCAGAGGGCGTGTCTGTACATATGTCTTTGCTCTCTCCTTACCGCTCTCCTGAACGAGTCAGGATCGATTTGTGTCCATGCGCACTGTTTGGAAGGGTCCTGCTCCAGAGACCATGACCTCGCCCGCCTGGTGCTAGCCAGGCCCGTGCGGCCGCGCAATCAGCGTGGCGAAGCACTGCTCCAGGAGACGGGGTGGGAGGCTCTCATGGCCCACGGATGTTGGCGTCGCGCACAAGGGGGGGTACCTCTGGAGGGGAAAATTCAGGAGGGAAAGAAACACACATACACAATTAATCGTCGACTCCCAGGAAAATGTGGGAAAATATGGGAAGTGGGGGGAAGACAGAAGCCCAGAAAATATAGGAAAATATGTGGATTTTTTATTTGTGTGTATTTATTTGTGTGTCCCAGGGCCCCTTCAAAAATCTCGGGCTTACGCCACGCTTCCCCTTGGGGCAGCGGGGGCCTCGTGTGGGCCTTCGGGGGGTCAGGTGTGCTTCCTGGGTCTGGCTTGCGGGTTTGACGCCGTTCGGATGGCTGACGGGGTCGCGCGGGGGACGCGTCGGGAGCGTCATAGGGGCAGTTTTTGAACTTGTTGGGGCCTCCTGGTGGCGTCTCAGGTTGTTTCGGGCGCTTGAGGCGCTCTCTGGGGGCCTCTTCGGAGCTTTTTGGGGACTCTTGGGGGCATCTTGGGGACGGGAGATCGAAATGTCCGGTCGAGCTCTCCCTTTAGGCCATCCTCGGGGCCTCCTCGGCCGTCTTGGAGGCTTCTGGGGCCGTCTTGGGGCCCTCGTGTGCCGTCTTGAAACCCTCTTGGGGGCCTCTTGGCTTGTCTGGGGTCGATCTTGACGGCCGTCTCGATCTCGGTTGGCCTCGTGTGCGCGCAAAATGCGAATGTGCCAAACATTTTGGTATTCAGGAAAGAGTGGGACGATTTATGCTCCTTGAAGACCTCTTGGAACGCCCCGTGGCGACTTCTTGGAGCGTTTTGTGGGCCTCTGGCCGTCTGGGGCTAATCTTGGGCGTCTTGGCGCGATCTTTCGGCGACTCGTGCCCCTCTTGGACCTTCTGGGGACCCTCTTCGGGCCCTCTGGCGCGTTTTGGGGCTCCTTGTCCCCCATGTCGCGTTCGGGCGGTCCCCAGGCCCTCCCCCCTCCAAATCGACCAGACTGGGGTCCCGGGGGAGCGGTTTGGGGAGGGGGCAACATTTCACACGCCGACGAACCCCAACGGGTCGGCGTGTTTTTTTTTTTTTTTTTGTGTGTGTGTGTGTGTGTGTGTGTGTGTGTTTCGGGCGCCTTCAATATTCAGCGCGAGGCGGTCGGTCCTCGAAGGTGGCGCAAGGAGCTTTTGGGAAGGCAGGCGGCCTAATGGTCAGGCATCTAAACAGACATCGAGTCATCATCGTCGGTCCTGGGGTCCTCACCCTGCCCCAGGACCCTAAGCAAGAACGGGTCAGCGTGGCAAGCCGGCCTTGGGGAGAGGGTCGGGACTTTGGGGCCCCGTGCTGGCAAGATCACGACAGTGGGTCTCTGGGAGAAACGTGCCGGGAGTGTGTGGGCCTCAGCTTCGGCCTGTGGCACGCAGGTCCACAGCGTATCGAGAGATCTCGCACGCGCTCTGATAGTAGGTGGCCCTGGTGGGGTTGACGAGGTACGGAGAGACCAGCACACCAGACATTCATGCAGTTTTTTTTTGGGGGGGGGGCATCGGAGGGCACCAACTATACACCAACACCGATCCCAGCCAGGATCGGTGTTGGTGTATAGTTGGTGCCTTCCTAGGGGCAGGGCTCACAGCATCAGAACCAGGCCGCCTCTTCGCGAGCAGCATTTCTGGACCCAGGATGCCGAACCGACAGCAGCGATGACCGGACGACGGCACCCCGGCCCGAGACCGGAGCGACGCGGTTGCAAAATCGCAGCGCAGTCAGAGAACACAGAGAGGGCCGTCGCGAGGGCGACACCAGCGCGGGCCTTCAAGGCCGAACGCCGCCAGTGGTTCAGAGTCGGTCGACGTGGAGCGATCCGCGATCTTCGGAAGGCCGCGACCGTTCGCGATCCTCGGAACACCGCGATTGTGTGTTGAGGTTGCGCGATCCGCGCGGTGTCTCAAACCTGCGCCGACGTCGCCACGAAACAGACCTGCCGTGTCAAAATCGGGGAACCGTAAGACTCGAGTATGCCGGGGCTCCGGTTTGCCGAGGTTTTTTTGACGCGCGCGTCCTGGATTTTGACGGTCCAGTTTTCGTGGGATGTCTGCAGCGGGAGCCAGCGTCAAATTTCAGGTTGGGTCTCGTCATTCTCATAATTTCCCCCGTCGGGCCATTCCGAGTCCCCCGTACCCGAGTCTTACTTTTCCCCGACAAAAGAGTTATGCAGGCGCCGCCGAGATGAGCATCACCCATCCAGGGGCCCATTCCTCGATACATCCAGGGGCCCATTCCTCGATACATAGCCGCCTCCAGCGCCAGGAGGCGCCGGGAAAATCAGCTACGTGAGCTGATTCTCACCCCCCCCCTGTGCTATCCCCCCCTTTCGCCCGACCCGAGAGCTGTGCAGGCGCCGCCGAGATGAACATCACCGACGAGCAGCTCCAGGAGATCACGGAGATCTTCGGGGACACGTCGGTGCTGCGGCCGCTGGACCAGCAGGAGGATCTCTCTGCCAGCCGGGTGCTTCCCCTCCTGCCTCCCCTCTTCCTCCCTCCCTCCCTCCTCCCTCCTCCCTCCCTCCCTCCCTCCTCCCTCCCTCCCTCCTCCCTCCCTCTTCCTCCCTCCCTCCCTCCCTCCTCCTCCCTCGCCCCCTGCCTCCTCCCTCCTCCCTCCTCCCTCCTCCCTCCCTTCCTCCCTGCTGCTCCCTTCTCCCTCTCCCTCCATCATTTTCCTAAATCGTTGATGGGGGGAGAGGGGAGAGGGATCAGTAGGAAAACGGAGGGGGAGGGAGGGAGGGGGCGAGGGAGGAGGAGGGAGGGAGGGAAACGGAGAGGAGGCAGGATGATGGAACCACTCCCTCCCTCATTCCTTTTCTTCCCAGCCGGACGGAGGAACAAAAACGGACGGGCGGGCCAGGCAGCAACAGCAGTTGGAGAGACCCTCCTGTTCTGATCCCCAGGCCAGTCTTTTTTGTTTTGTTTTTAGTTTTGTTTTTCCCTATCCCTCTAAACGAGCGCTCTTCGCTGCTAGTCCCCAGGCCAGTTCAGTTCAGTCCTGAGACTCCAGGCCTTCCCCTGGCCAGCGCTGGGAAGGCCTGGAGTTCCTTCGGCGCCAGGCCGGGGCGCCTCGTTTCCCATCTCCCTCATGGACGGGGCGACCCCCCTTCTGGGGCGACTAAGGGGGGGTTTGTGCCCGCAGGTCCGCCAGCAGCAGCCTCACCATGCGACCAACCAACCGACCAAGTCCCCTCCCTCCCACTTTCTCCTCTCTCTATCCTTCCTCCTTCCTCCTCGGGGGCCTTGGGGCTTTTTAGGGAGTCTTGGGGCCATCTTCGCCTACACTTTCGGATGTCCACGCGGATTTCGGCGATGGACCCCGCCTTGCGGCGCCCCCCTGGCGCGCAAGAAATTCTCGTGGACTTCCGGGAGTTCATGATGATGATGATGATGATGATGATGATGATGATGATGATGATGATGATGATGATGATGATGATGATGATGATGATGATGATGATGATGATGATGATGATGATGATGATGATGATGATGATGATGATGATGAGAGGAGGAGAGGAGGAGGAGGAGGAGGAGGAGGAGGAGGAGGGGGAGGAGGAGGAGGAGGAGGAGGAGGAGGAGGAGGAGGAGGAGGCTTGCCCCCCAGCAGTACTTTTGCATGGAGTGGTTCAGCTTCTCTGTCGCCGGCCGCTGGCTCGCGCTGTCCAGGTCTCGTCCAGTCGCGCCGGTCGTCTCCCGTGGCCGCCTCGTCGCCGCTTCGTCGCCGCCTCGTCGCCGCCTCGTCGCCGCCTTCTGCGCTGCCCACCTCCTCGTCGCCTCGTCGCCTCGTCGCCTCGTCGCCGCCGCGTCGCCGCCTCGTCGCCTCGTCGCCTCGTCGCCTCGTCGCCGCCTTTTGCGCCGCCTCTGCCGCCGGCCGCTGGCTCTGGGTTTCCGCTCTGCGGCCGCCTGTGGACGCCCGTCGCCGCCCAGCTGCCGCCTCGTGTGCCAGCGTGCGCTTGCAGCCGTCCGCCCGGTGGCTGGCGCCTCGTGCGTTGGCGCGCGCCTCTGGGCTTCCACCGGGTGGCCGCTCGTCGTCGCCTCGCTGGCGCCGCCTCGTTCGCGGGCGTGCGCTTCCAGGCGTCCGCGGGGGGGCCCCTCGTCGCCGCCACGTCGCCGCCCTGGTCGTCAGTCGGGTTGCACATGCAGACTGCGCCGCGCTGATTGAGCCACAACATTTTCCTTGCCCTCTGGAAGATTATCCCCCCCTGCCGAGGCCAGAAGTCAAGGCGCATCTTCGCGTATGCGTTTGACTTGGGCGCGCGGGGGCGAGCGCGCCTGGCCTGCACGGCAGTACGTAACACGGATCATTGCACAACGCACTTGTTTGTCCGCGTGCGCGCGCCGCGTGCAATTGTTTGACAGGGACAACGGTGGTTGATAGAAGGGGCTGGCAGGGAGGGTGTGGACTCATGTCTCGAACAGAGGGTCATGTGTCGGCTTTCCAGCAATTTCAGACAGAGCTCACGAAGAGCACACGGAGCACTGGTGGCGTTCGGCCGCTTCTCTTCTCCTGACCGTGCCTGCGCCTCGGGGCTTCCATTTTCCTCCTGAGAAGCCGGGCCAGCGTGGCGCTCTGGCGGCCACGTTGCCACCGTCGCTGCCCCGTCGCCGCCCACCGTCTGTGCCCGTGCGGCGGTCTTGCCACTACGCTGCCGGCCGTCGCCGCCCCCCTGCCGCCTCGTCGCCGTCCGTCGTCTGCGCCCGTGTGGCGGTCTGGCGGCTATGTTGCCGCCGCCGCCGCCCGTGGCCGCAGCGTCGCCGCCCGTCGTCGTCGTCGCCACCCTGAATTGCACAGCGTCTATTGCGCATGGACAGCACAGCATCGATTGCACCTCGTGTATTTTTCCAAAAAGAGAACAGACTCTACCCCCGCCGGAGTTATCGGTCCCACTTTTCATATGGCAGGTTGCATATGATTCTGCCCCATCATCCATTCTAAATGTGAGTTCGTACTATCCAAGCCAGGCCGGTATCGCCCCCCCCGCCATCTTCTGCAAAACATACTGTGCGCGCACATTCGTTTATCAAAAATCAGAAGTTTTCAATCAGAACTTTTCAATAATCTCTTGCAAACAATACCACAAAGTCATCACGCGCGCGTCCATGCCAAAATCGTACCAAACACAATGTGTTTGCAAGCATTTCAGCATACAAACCACAAGCATCAAGGGTTTTGCATCAACCAGTTGCAAATTTCCTGTCCGCGCGCTCATGCCAAAATCATACAACAACCATCGGGTTCTTATGGGTTCTGCCAAATCCAGCGATTACATGTCACCGCGTGGTGCACCCGCGATACTCCTGTCCTGCGCCGGGGGCGAGAATCCCTTGCAACACATACCACGCGGGCCACATGCGCGCACCGCCGCGCGCGCATGATCAGTCTGACGGATTTGTTGAGCTTCCGCGCGCGCGGATTTCCTTTTTTTTTTCTCCCCCCCCAAACTTGTCAGCATCATCGCGATCACCTGCTTTATCGACAGATGGACATCAACATCGTCAGCGTTTTTGCCATCTTTGGCGCCGTTCTCGTTCGTGCCGTCGCCCTCTTGAACATCGTCGTTGCTGGTGCCATCTTCGTCATTGTCGCACACGTTGCCGACGTCATCTGGCCATCGCGCACGTCCGAGTATCGTCGATATGCTCACCTACATCATCGACTCACGGTGACGAACATCGGCAGTGAGGATGTTATCATCGATGTCGTCATCGGTGGCGCCGCCGTCCCCCGCATCACGAGTTTTGCCACACGTTGCGGGTGGGAGCGTGGGTTGTTTGCGCGAGCAGTGGAGATGACGACTTCACGTTCAGCAGAGTGGATTGCACAACGTAGGTTGCGCAATATCGATTGCACGGTCTAGACTGCACACCGCCGATTGCACCGCACGTATCTCGACACATATAGCGTTGCGTGTATTGCTCCGCGCAGGTTGCACGCCATAGTCTGCGTCACGTAGCTGGCACAACCTAGTTTGTCATGTACTGCGCAACCTATATTGCACGACATATTTTGCACCACGTACGTTGCGCTACATGGGTAGTCTGCGTATACTGCATAGTCTTTATGTTGCGCCACTTAGATTGTACCACATGCGTTGCCCAACATATATTCAGCGCGTGTATGGCGCCACATAGAGTGTTCCACATGCATTTCCCCATGTAGTTTGCACAGCATAGCTTGCTTTGCATATATCGCACAGCATATATTGCACCACATATGCTGTACACCATAGAGTGTCCAACGTGTCTTGTACAGCATAAATGGCGCCACATTTATTCCGCCACACAGGCTGCACAACATAGAATTGACACCGTATGTTGCACAACACATACTGTACCACATAGGTTGCCCCACATATACTACACAACGTAAAGGTGCACCATATCGATTGCGCACCATAGGTTGCGCAGCGTAGATTGCAGTACCCAGATTGAACAGTTGCACAACCTATACTGCTATTCACGCACTGTTTGGGGTCCACGCTGGTTAACATCAGTGTCGTAAGGCGACCAGGTTTCCCCATGCTGTCAAGTGAGCTAGCTCATGGGGGCCGCACGCGTGCGCATGTCGAAATCATTCAGCATTTGCTGAGCGCCCGTCATCCGTTACATGCTA